GTGACATTGTAAGGATATACTGCTGTGTATAATTAATGGTGCAAACCCACACGTTAAAGCATGAAGCCGAACTTTGGAGCCATTTCTTATAAGTGAAGGTGAATCAGATGATTACAGAAACTCTTTTGCTTGCTTTTCTGAATATCTTTATGAAACAAATTTTTCACACCAACCACAAAATATAATCAACAAACAAGTAAGACAAATATTCATACCAGTGGTAGATTTATATTTAAAGTAATTGTTTCTTTTTACTAGTAGTAGGATTAATATTTTTAGTGTCTCAACTTAAATCTGTTGTTTTGTGGAAGAAACAAAAGATTAGAGTGAGCTCATCTGTAAAAAATAAAATGTGGAAACAAGTAAAACATTAGTTAGCAATTATAATAATTATTGTAAAGATTATAAATAGATTTCAACATGTAAATAAAAACATTTCAGCCTTTTTACATAAATCTTTTGAGATGTCTTTGTTGTTTCCAAACGTCTTGGTTGAACAAAGATAACTTTAAATCTAAATATTTCAGAGGAATGACTAATTTTGTAGGTCTGATCCAATAGATAATAATAATTTTTCATGTCTCTTTAACGAGAGACTTTATAATAGATGAAAAAGCAGAATGAGGGGTTTAAATGAATCTAAACTGTTATGTCAATGGGATTTTCATTCTCTAACACTCAAAGAGGAGTCTAATAAAGTAAAATAGATTCACTCAAACTCACCTCTTTAATTTTAGGAATGCTTATTTAAACATTTAAATAAGCCGAGGATGCAACTAAGTAGCCTGTACTATGATATTCCCAACTATAAACGCTGCAGCAACATAAAATCTTACCAAGTATTTTGTCTACTATTTCATCCAAATTTCTTAGTACACTGGAAATAAGACAAAACTAACTTACAAGTTACTTTTCAGCAAGAAATAGGAGCTTGTTTTAAGTCAATATTTCCTTAATATTCATGAAAAATTATTAGTTACAGGTGAAATAATCTGCCAGTACAAGACATTTTTCCTATATTATAAGCTAAAACGTCTTGTTACACTTAAATCTAGAACTTTTTTTTCCCTAAATATTGCTGAAAAGTTACTTGTAAAGTACTTTGACTTATTTAAAGTGCAATAAGATATTTTCAGTAGAAACCAGACCAAAAGTACTTGGTAAGATTTTGTTTAATTATAAGTTTAAATAAAAATATAGAATCAACACAACTAATCCTGAATAAAGATGAATTAAAAGCCAATGAGTTAAGATTGACTTCCACATAAAATATATAAACATCACACATATTATCAGTTTTTTAATTATGCACAATTGCTCAGTATCTTCCAGGGCTTAGAGCGGCTTTCCCTTTCTACTTGCACGGCGATTAATCTATTTAGAGAGCGTATGTGAAGGACTTTGTCTTCTCTCCACACGTCCATTAGCGAGGCTCTAAAATGACTTGAAGCACGGGTTGACAATAGGCCAATGTAAGCTATGACAGGGCGAGCCGGCCTGATGGGGGCCTGTTGTGTCCGTTCAGACCTGTGGAGCCTTGCCAGCCCGTTAGGCAGATGAAGCTCCACTCCATCAGGCCCAACCGGGGGTGTCAAGGGGCCCAGTCAGCCAGGCTGCAGAGGCCACAAGGGCTAAGCCCTAATTGCCCTCCAGTAGCCTGTGTGGCTCAAATGTCCCTCTTTATGTTAGGAGGGAGGAAAGTCTTTAAACTTTGTAGAGATTTGTTCATACTCAGTTCCTTTTTCCCACATTTTAACTGTTTAAGATACTCAAATGAATCCACAGCTTTGAAATATGTTTGGGAATTTGGTGCTTAAAGGGGACAGAAAATAGATAAAGTTATAAATGTTTACTTGGAAAAAATACGATAAGAGACAATTTTACAATTTGACCAGATAACATGTGCACTGATCATCATAATAAAACATTTTCCTGCTCAAAGAGAGACTGACATTAATTTTAGTACTCATGTAAACGGTATAATTCACCTAAATATAGAAGTTTTTATCCTTTCCTGCTATTGAGTTTGTGTGTGTTTCCCCCCCCCCAACTTTCTAAAGTCAGGATGAATTATTCACAAAAATCAAAACTCAGTTTCAACTCTTCTTCCACCTCCTTGGTTCACTTTTATATAACACAGCAGCTCTGGAAATACTTTATATCAACAAACAGTAACGAAGTCAACTGAAACTATCAAACTTGAAACTGAAAAAAGCAACTAAATAAATAAATAAATAAATAAATAAATAAATAAAACTTTTTTATCCCTGAATAATTAAATTAGGAAGGGGTGCAGTTTACCTAGAGATAGGCAAGCTAGGTAGAAGTATTTTTTTTAAAGTGTGAGAATGATCCCTAGAAGATACTTAGATTTAATCAATTTAAAGTGTGTAGCATGTTCATGATTAATTTTGTATTTAGTTCTTTCATTTGTCTGTTTTCACCTTGACAATACCTCCATGTCAGAGGAGATGTTGTCTCTTAACTTATCTTAATATCTGCTTGAATAAAATGAAAGTCCATCAGAGTTTTAATTGGCAAACATCATCTCTCAACCACAGAGGTACTTTTATAATCTTATGCACCCATAAAATTTAGCTTTGAGAGCCTTTGTAGAATAATTTGAGATGATAAACCAGAAAATATCATGCAAACTGCACCCAGAATACGCTCATGACATACTGCAGCTAGTAATTAATTACATGCATTATGATGTTATCTTGGTTGACCAAGCGTGACCTTTGCTGGGCCCAGGCTCTAGTTAACAGGCTGGCTAGCGGGACGTGGTCCACGGTGATAATAATAAGGGAAAAGAGCGGAATTAATTGGGTTTGATTAAGAACACTTTTCAAAGGGACACTATTTTCCCCTCTTGACATAATTACGGATCACTCTGAGGGAGGGGCAGCCGGCGGGGTTGATGGCTGGCGCCAGTTGCTTGTCTTTGCGGCAATGTTCACCTTTAGAAAATGGACGCACCACTCAAGCAGAACATCCTCTTTTGCTGCCCACTTAGTCACATGGCACCAAACACAGTTGCTAATGTTTTAATCTGGAGTTTGTTACATTTTGTCAAACTTACATGTTGATTTTGTTTCTGGATAACTTAATTTTGAACATAAGATTTCAGTCACCAATAGAAACAGTGACATGAGGAGAGTACATGAAATGTATTTAATCAAAAGGTGTCATTATAAAACAAAAGACTTAATTAATTAGTTTGCAAGCATGAATTTACTGATGGTGTTCTCTAATCCAAACAGTGTAAAAATTATACTGGCTCAAATAAATACACAACTTCTAATATTTGGATGAATATCCCTTAAATTGCAAATCAGCCAAGTGGTTTCTGGCATAATTCTGACTCAACATTTGTCTATTTTTTTAAAGAAAATGTAGAGCTCATTTATATTGGCTGTTTGGACCCTTATTTTAAAGTTTATCTATTAAACTCAGAGAGTCCTCAAATCATCTTTTCTGTTAGGACAGGTCTATGGGCTATATGAAACATGTTCTCTACATTTTTAGTCTGATCAGTTCTGCCTATTTTACTCTCCTTTTAGAACAAAGTGTTAGCTTTGTTACCTTGTAACTTTAAATCCAAACAGGCTGCTCATGGCCACGCCCCCCAACTCATCGTTTACATCTTTAAAATGCAGAAGCATCAAGTGGTTTCTGGGTGGTACATCAACAAACAGCAAAACTCTTGTTTTTTGTTGTTGTTTTTTTCAGCAGCCACTGTAAAACCAGTTGACCAAATGTGCTCGAGTTCTGCTTTGGTTGCTAGGTAACAGGCTGGGCTTCTTTCGGAAGCCCAGCCTGTTACCTAGCAACCAAAGCCGTTACCAAAGGTTGCTAGGTAACGGCGCAGTGCCTGCATGTTACATTCTGAAGTTTTTTGAAGCAGATAATTTTCAAGACACCAAAAAGCATTGACTTATTATCAAATTCTTCTAAGTTTTAAGAACTTAAGTTGTTTTTAGAAGCAGTAGAAACACAAATGGAAGTACAAAAACATAATATCGCCTCATATTTTCTATCAGGTCAGGGTTTTATGGACACTCTTCAAGAACCTTAATGTCAGCTTGTTTTATCTATTCCAAAACCAGTTGTGTCCACGATTAATATTAGATTTACGTTTATAATTTCTCTAAAATATTTCCTGCCGAGGACCATCACTGTCTACAATAACTCTTCAAAGACTTTGGATTAATGAGTTACATCAACATTTAATTTCCCTTTGGGATCAATGAAGTATTTTTGAATTGAATTTGAATTAAAATTCTCATTATTTAGTTCTGTGCACCTTGTCCTGGAGAAAGATTAACAATGTAAAAATACAATTAGTATCAATGTGTCTCATTTGTTTTTGCCGTTTTACCTCAACAGCTGAAACTCCTAAAAGTATACATTCACTGAAAGATTTACTCCCTCAGTGGTACTGGTTTAAAACTTGCTAAGATGTAGCTAAAATTTAACCTGATGTTACCAGTTTTTAATGCTGAAAACACCAAAACAAAATCAGAAAAGTGGAGTTCTCTCCTTCCACAAGCAAGGAAAACTAAAGTTTTATGCCATAATCGGTTCTTCCAGGTTTCTTTGGAGCTCTCTCACGCCACCTGCTGGCTGACCTATTTCGACAAAACTCTGTATATATAATGACAAAACATTGAGTGTGAACACCAAAACCGTGGTTTATGGCATATATGTTGGTGAAAGAACAGATTGTTTTAGCTTGCAGTGTTTTAGGTGTAGTGCAGGAGAGTAAAAAAAAAAAAAAAAAAAAATCCATATTTTCCCACAGCAGACGGTGGAAAGAGGAGCTCAAACTGTGGCTGCTTTTGCTGAGAAACACGGTCAATAAGAGCGAAACGCTTCTGTGTGTTTACTGTCGTCGCACTCAGAGCAGCTGTGAGGAAAGCAGGACAGAAAGAGAGGAAGGGGAGGTGGCGTCGGCATCACGGGCAGCGAGAAAGAGGAGAGGAGGTGAGTTCATATGAAGGAGGAGTTTCACAGAGAGTGAGAGAGGCTATTAGAGATGGTGAGAAAAAGCAGGAGAGAGATACAAGCTGTGTGAGGGAGGAAGATGCTGTTGCCAGGGAACGAGGTTGAGAGAGAAGGAACCATCTTTTACAGTTTGGGAGAGGATGAAAAGTCAGTTCAAGATGGATCCGAAATGGACTAAACTGGAGGAAAATAGGTGATCCTGCCAACAACCAGCCTGACAGAATCAAAGGAGAAAGGTAGGCAGCTGGGATTACATAACCATCAGAACGCTGCTCCCATACGGCTGACATCATCCGAACGGATTAGAGCCCGGGGGTTTTAGTGTTAGCGGGTAGAGGATGATGATGAGGGGGGAAGAGCAGAGGCAAATTGGAGGAAAAAAAGAGAATACTGTAAAGAGTTAGAATATTTTTTTTTGTCCAAAAGTCAGTCTGGGATCCGTCTGGGTAAAAGATGAGAGCACAGTGATGTCACCTCTAGACTCCCTTCATCAATCCTCTCTCCACAGGAAGACACGACTTGCCTCCATCAGCAGCATCAGTACGCAACAGGAACTACCCTAAAAACAGGAGCACACCACCTGGAGAGGTAAACAGTGATGACCCGCCGTCTGCTGATTTAAGGAAAAGCAGAACTACATCATTATATAACGTAAGTGTTCTGCAAGATTTTTGTTTCTGGATTGCGACTGGATAAAAAAATCTCAGGATAGACTGTCAGATTTCCAGACATGAATCTACAGCAGGCTGAAGCTACATTAAATAATCCATCACAATTCAGGTTGGAGGAATTTCTCTTCAGAAATGTTTCTTTTCCAAACACTGGAAGAAGGATCTTGCATGTCTGTTCATGTGGTTCCCGCCTTCGTCTCTCTAAGCTGTAGGGAGAGTCGAGTTTCGTTTCCAACTGATTCTGTTTGCTAAAGGTCACTCTTAGGCCACTCAGTGTGAGAAGATGGTCAAATAAAATATTATTCAATTAAAATCAGCATTAAATAACAGTTTAATGGGTTTTATCAGTACATTCTGGCACAACCGGCCCTTTAAGGACACACACATTTTGATACGACCCAACATGAAAATGAGTTCAACACCCTGATCTAAATGGACAAAGTGACATCATTCCTATAAGATGGACAAACATTCGCCAAAAACGTTTTGAACATAACCACATAACTAAAATCAGCTCTAGTAGGTGAAAGGTCAACTCCCAGGTGTAGAGTGAAAACTGCATCTTTAGAAATTCAAAGATCATTAGGTTTTATTGTAGATTATTGAAAATGTTTTCACTTGTTTTCAGGTTTTAGCTAGCAGGTTACAGCAGACAATGAGCTAGCGTCAGGGCTAAACAGTTTATTCTAAAGAAACTAAGTGCTCTTTTCATAAAGCTAATTATTTTAGATCATATCATTACCAAACTAAATCTTTTATTACTGTTTATTTTGTAAGGAACATTAAATGCTGCACAGGATCTCTAATGTTTTCAGGTCTTGTCATCCCTCCCTTTTGCCTTTAGATAAAGACAAACAAGTTGAGGAAACGGAGCTCGTAATAAATCATTTCATCTGAGTTATCTTTAATCCTCAATAATGCCTTTCAAGCTGCAAGCCAACACAAATATCGCTCTCTCACGGGGGAACTCCTCTGATTTACTCGATTTCAAAGGGACAGAACCTGTCAGGAGAAAAACCTGTAATCACCGTCTTGTGCAACAGTTTGCTTTTCATCTCTTTTATATTCTGGTTGGCACAAAGGCAAAGGCAGCCCTGCTGCCATCTGGACACAAATCCTCACCAGACACGTGCGTCCGCGTCTCAGATGTTCACTGAATGGACAAGCAAGGCTGTCAAAGTGACATTTGTGATTACAATCCTTGTTGCTCATTGAGATATGACCGTTTTCTGTGAGAGGAGGTGCAGCCTTAATAGGCAAAGAATAACATTTTGTTTTAGGATTGCAAAAAAAAAAAAATGTTGCAACTTACGGGTTTAAACAGTCGACCTCGATTCCCCAATCCCAGCACAGCAGCATCAGGGGCCTGCAGGCACAGAGCATGTGTCTTTTACCCCACAATTGGAGTTCTAGGTCCAAAAATAGACTGTATCAAATCAGTTCCATCCCACTGGACTAATGGGCTGGGGTGACGTCTGTTAAATAAACTCAGGTTGGGACAGATTTATTTGTGAAGGAAAATCCCTTTGATGGGTTTGCTCTATTTAGCTTGACTGATACTTCTATAAATGATTCAAACACAGCAGACTCTGCAGATGCGCATCGAAAAACCAGAAATGAAAGTTAATGCAGTAGATGAAGACCTGTGCTTTGGTTACCTGCATGCACATCTGAGATGACTGTGCTGCCTTCAGGGAATGGCTGCTGCATGAGCAAATCAGTGTTTTATTTTAGTCTCCTTCCCTGGAGCAGCTGGGGTCAAAAATCCACTCTCACGTGACGTCACGCATTCATTTGACGACCATTTTCCTGTAAATAGTGAAAACTGTGAGTTAGAAACGGAATATATTACAAATATACTGCCTTAATTATAGCTCTGCCATTGTCTTAAAAAGAGCAAATGTCATGAATAAATTTGCAAGTTGAAATGTTGCATTATTTTCAGCCTCCTTTTTAGCATTTGCATTTGGTAGCAGGCTACATTAACAAAGATAATGCAATATTTTAACTCCCCATTAGATAAAGCAATAAAGTTTCAGTAAGTAGGTATAGGAAAAAAATATTGGCATTGGTAATGGTTATCGGCCAAGTGAGTTTTAGTGTATCGGCATATCGGATATCGACCAATAAAAATGTATTTAGTTTGTTCTACTTCACAGGCTGTTGACGAACTTTGATTTGAGTTTCAGTTGTTTTCTTTTGTGTAGAAAACAGTTTGTTTTCCAAAATGGATAAATAAGTTACATTTTTGGAACGTTTAGCAATCAGTTCCCCAGGGCTCAGTTTTATGCTCTGTTATATTTTATAGTTAATAAAAATGTGTTTATAGGTAAAAATGCTCCTTCATGATAAAGTATGTTGTTCAGAGTGAAACATGTTCGAAGCAGGTCAATGGCCACTGAATGACTTAAATTGGTTCTTTTATGTGAAATAAACTACTGTAATGCACATTATACATCTATATTAATCTGGGATCAATATATATAATATATAATAATCTATATTATGCTATTATAAATTAGCATAAGCAGTACTACTGCTGTTTATTTTGCTCCCTTATTCTGCACCTGAGCTTAAAGCTGTTTTAAACATGATGTTGTAACACATCATCTCTCGCCCTTCACTACTTATTCCCTCTTTCTGTCATCCAAAGCGAGCTGAAGCCCGTCCTCCCTGCAGAGGATGGGTACAGCAGAAGCCACTTTGCGCATGGACAGCATGGAGGTCAAGGACGAGTGGCAGGACGAGGACTTCCCCAGGTATTTGTCTATGGCTGGGTCTGTGTGCAGTTTGAGACAAACAGGTTGGGATGGATGGAAAATGAGTCACGTGTGCGTCTGTCAGACGCTAACGGGGGAGCAGGTGTGTTCCTTCTGTTGTGAGTACAAACTGTAGCATGTCACAGAACAAAATAGCAGCTGGCAAAGCATGAAAGACGTCAGTGGAAAATGTGTGTGTTATGTTGTAATATAGTGTATTAGAATAAAAGTATATATCTCCTGTCTCCTTATACAAGTCTTTATTGTATCTAATAATACATGCATTGGCATAATCAGAGTTTTTATGAGCAAATATATTAGAAGCAATGAAAATAAGGTCACACTGGTCTCTGTTTTGCTTTTATTTTTCTGAACAATAGCCATTTTAGTGTGGATTCCACAAATTCATGACCTGAAGAATGCTTTTCAAGTTTCATGTGTAATCAAAGTTTCACCATGAAACCCTCAAATTACTTTGTGTGCAGGCAGTTGCCTCCATAAGTCCCATAATTAGCTTTTAAACGACTAGTTGCTGCAGTCACAGCTTTGGTGTTTTGCGATATGATTTTACTTGCTTTGCACAACTAAAGACGGAAAATGTTGTTTATTTTTCTTTCGAAACAGTTCTGTAAACATTAATTTATGATGGTTTTGCCACAGACTGAATTGGATATGAATCTAGACTTTGACTGGGCCGTCTTTGGACATGGAAATGCTTTGATATAAACTACTCTTTTGTATTCTTCTGGTGAAAATTAAAACTTTGCACCATCCCATTAACTCTGACCAGTTTCTCTGCAGACTAAAAATATCCCCACATAAAGATGCTGCCATCACTGTGTTTCACAATCTAGACTGTGTTTCTAGGTTGATCTGCAGTGTTTGTTTTCCTTACAAACCGAATTGAACATGTAGGCTGAGCTACATTATCTCATCTGGCTACATTATTTTTAAGTCTTTGCTGTCATCCTATTTGACCTGGATTTCTTTTTGCTCATATCATTTTAAAACAAACCCTGGTCTCTCCAAATTAAATATATTAATGTAAAGTTAAAGGTGTGTGAAAACATTTGCGAGGCGCTGAAACACCTCAAACAGCCGACTCAGTCAGCGCATCAGCTTGCCCTTACTTGCAATGTTTAAGGTGTGTTTGGATAAATTCCTGTCTTTTTCTCTGTCTGCATGTTGGTACAGTAAAGATACTATCTACTGTAATCCAGCCCTCATTTCTCCCACACATCGAGCTTAAAGGTGTCTACAGAATAAATCCTTAAGGGGAGTCGGTAATTACACTGGTGTTGCTTTCTCAGACAAAAGACGATTACACTGAGTGATGACATAAAAACTACAGATAAAGAGTGAACAGTGAGAGCATTTCTACTTTCTACAGAATTGCTGTTAAATTGTTTTAATGTATAATTTTAATTGTGCTGTCTGTGCAGGCCACTGCCAGAGGACGGAGTTGGTCTCACTGACAACAGAAGCAGTAAGTGGAATAAACACCCAGCTTTGGATTGTCTAGCATAAACTGTAAACTTACACCTGCTTGCTGTTGCAGATCCTCCCACCAGCCTGAATGTCGGGGAGTCCATGAACCAGAGAAAGCGTCGCACACTGGTCGCCCCCGACATGAACCTGTCCCTGGATCAGAGCGAGGGCTCCGTTCTCTCAGACGACTTCCTGGAAACGCCCGACGACCTTGACATCAACGTCGACGACATTGAGACTCCAGATGAGACCGACTCACTGGAGTTCCTGAACAACGGCAACGAGCTGGAGTGGGAAGGTCAGAAAAATTAAGATTAAGACCCCAAAATGAGGAGGTCATTCTTCTGCATCATGAATTATGCTGGTGAAAACAAAGAGAGAAAACGAAGGCAGATTGGAACTAAACTATAATAATAAACATTAATTGCAACTAAAAGTAATGAAAAATCAATTTATTTATTCACTCAAATTTTTTTTAATTTTTTGTATTAACAAAACTATTTAAAATCACAAGCTAATTAAATACAAATAAAAGCTGCAATATTTTAATTTTGCTGCTTTATTTTTTATCATATTGATGCACAATGAAGTAAATTATTAGCTAAAATTAGCTAAAGGATGAATAAACTACCATGAAGCTGTTTTTTTTATTTTTTAGATGACACTCCTGTGGCCACAGCCAAACGTCTTCCAGGTGAAGGTGAAGAGGAGAGAGACTCCTCTGGTCGTCTGTGGCGAACGGTGATAATCGGCGATCAGGAGCAACGGATTGACATGCAGATCATCAGACCTTACCTGCGAGTGGTCACCCATGGAGGTTAGCTAAAGTGTCTGTTCATTCATTCATAAATGAGTCTAGATCGACCTATGATCCTATTGACACATCACCAATCTTCTCCTTTGTTGAATTGATAGAAACTGACACCTGCAAATTGGGAATACTCCATAAGAACCTCAGTTTTAGAAATGCTTTAACTCAGAGTTGTAACTATCCCAATTTTGGCCTTCTCAAAATCATTTGTACATTTCTCCTGCTTCTAGTACAATAACTTTAAGGATAAAATGTTCTTTTGAAGCCAAAGACATCTCACTTTTTTAGGACCCAAATGCAGAAATGACAGCTGTACGGTGTACATTTAAGGGCAATCCTCAGGTCTCAGGAAAACATCCTCACACAAAACGGCTTCAGATGCCAGACCACACACAAAAAGTCATCAGATCTCTGACTAAACGGCATCAGAATAGAAAGTCTCAGAAAAAACAGCGTCAGATTAAAAGCTCACGGAGAAACTCCCAACAGGTGACGCCATCCATCAATCTGTCTGTCTACTTAAAAAACACAATAATAGAATAATTATATATATATATATATATATATATATATATATATATATATATATATATATATATATATATAT